CCTTCCTGGGTTTCTCCCCTCCAAATATTCTAGATATGGCCTGCGCTTCTGCCTTTGTCTTAAACTTGCAGAGGTGGACCTGGTTAGAACTCCTGAGGCTTGCCTCTTATCAACAAGGGCTTCGGCCAGCGTACAATCACCAGCCTCAGTTTCCTCACCTGTAAAATGGGGATGGTACCTACCTCTTTGTGTTTTTGTAAGTAATGGACCTAAATATGGTGATGGGTTTGGAAGACTTTAGCATAGTACCTGGCTCCTTGCAGGTACTCAGTTTCCTTGTCCCTCTCTGAGAGTGTCTCTGCTCAGCGCCTACCCCATGGCCCAGGATTCACCTTCCCTGATGCTGCCTTTTCTAGGTGGTACCATGGCCACATGTCTGGGGGGCAGGCAGAGACGTTGCTGCAGGCCAAGGGTGAGCCCTGGACATTTCTTGTGCGTGAGAGTCTCAGCCAACCTGGAGATTTTGTGCTGTCGGTGCTCAGTGACCAGCCCAAGGCTGGCCCAGGCTCCCCGCTCAGAGTCACCCATATCAAGGTCATGTGTGAGGTAAGGCAGCCGGGCAGTCGGGGAGGCATCCGGCTGGGGCTCTTGTCTGTGCCCACAGTATGGGTGGTGGGGAGGGTCAGCCAGGCTTCGGTCCAAGTCTGGGGTTCGAGGGAGGGAAAGTCAAGCCCTGCAGGGTGGCCTGACTTGGTACTCCTCAGGGTGAACGCTACACATTAGGTGGTTCGGAGACCTTTGACAGCCTCACAGACCTGGTGGAATATTTCAAGAAGACAGGGATCGAGGAGGCCTCGGGTGCCTTTGTCTACCTGCGGCAGGTGAGGGGTGGACCTGGCTGCCTCCTTCCTGCCCCTGAGCAGCCCCTCAGATGCCTAATCCTCTGAGCTCAGGAAATTGCTGACTCTTGCCCTCGCCCACCGCAGCCCTACTATGCCACGAGGGTGAATGCGGCCGACATTGAGAATCGGGTCTTGGAACTGAACAAGAAGCAGGAGTCGGAAGACACAGCCAAGGCTGGCTTCTGGGAAGAGTTTGAGGTGCGGACTGGGACCAGCAGGGCGACTGGCGCAGGGTCCCAGGCAGACCCCATCCCCTCTCCCCCCACCCCCGTTACTGATCTGCCCCACGTTATCTCCACCTGCGACACTCCTCTTGGGGGCTGGTGCTCCATGGCCCCCTCTCGCCCTTCAGAGCCTGCAGAAGCAGGAGGTGAAGAACCTGCACCAGCGACTGGAAGGGCAGCGGCCAGAGAACAAGTGCAAGAACCGCTATAAGAACATCCTCCCGTGTGAGCACTTCTCCCCCCGCCAGCTCTCAGGCAGCATCAGTACATCCAGGGGACTCCTTTCCTTAGCCAGCCTCCCTGATCTCAGGGGGTCGCTACCCCTGACTCACACACACACACACAACAGAACCTCCTCTCCTCCAAAAAGCCTCTTCCCGCTCATCAGAGCCTCCGGTACCCACCTTCACCACTCCCCTTCTTCTGAAACCTCCCCCCTCCCCCATCCCCATGCAGATCCCCACCCCTGCCCGCCCACAGTGCTCTGAGAGCCTCATGGCTTCTCAGACAAGAA